CCGCCCTTCCATTTCTCCACCGCTGGGACTGATCTGTTGTGTTTTTTTCTTTTGTCTGTTCAAGAGGAGAATTGAAACAAACAAATTGTAATGCTCAAGTTTTTACTTTTTACCGCTCGTTTTTAACTTCACAAATAAACGATAACTAAAAAAAAAACCACATCCCCCTGTGTCTGCTGGGTGGTGTCTGTCCGTTTTTCTCTCTTTCTCTCTCTCTCTCTCTCTCTTTCTCTGTCCATAGGGGTTTTTTTGAAGCTGATGTTTGTTCACAGTATAGCTGTTGTAAAAGCCTGAATAATGGTCATGAATTAAAAAAAAGAGCTTCCTGTGTTTTTATAGTTTGAGCAGGCAATTGTGCATTTTCGTTGAATAAAATGCTTTTTTGTTTTAAAAGACACTGATGCAGCCGTGTGTGTTTCCAGAGGTAAGGCCTTGCGGGAGCGGCTTCAGCTTCACCAAAGAACACCAGGAGTGGGGGGGAAATCTGATCGTTTCCCCTGTCTGGTAGTGCAGAGGAACCGCCTCTCTAGGGCTCTTCAACCAGCTCAGCTCAGGGGAGGGGCCGTGGCTCAGTGGAAAAGCATTCTGCTTGGCATGCAGGAGGTACCAGGTTCAATCCTCGGCATCTCCAGTTAAAAAGGACCAGGCAGGAGGTGATGTGAAAGACCTCCGCCTGAGACCCTGGAGAGCTGTGAAGAGGGGCTGTGGCTCAGTGGAAGAGCATCCGCTTGGCATGCAGAATGTCCCAGGATCAATCCCCGGCACCTCCACTTAAAAGGACCAGGCAGCAGGTGATGTGAAAGATCTCCACCTGAGACCCTGGAGAGCTGTAAAGAGGGGCTGTGGCTCAGTGCCAGAGGCTCTGCTTGGCATGCAGAAGGTCCCAGGTTCAATCTCCACCCGGCATCTCCAGTTAAAAAGGACCAGGCAGGAGGTGATGTGAAAGACCTCCACCTGAGACACTGGAGAGCTGTAAAGAGGGGCTGTGGCTCAGTGGCAGAGCCTCTGCTTGGCATGCAGAAGGTCCCAGGTTCAGTAGGTGACATGAAAGACCTCCGCCTGAGACCCTGGAGAGCTGCTGCCAGTCTGAGTAGACAATACTGACTTTGATGGACTGGCCTCAGGAGCTACAGAAAGTTCAGTACAGCTGATAGGGTTTTCTGCATAAAAATTCGACTCCTCGCAAATTCGCCTTCTCCAAATAAAAAGAGCACCTTTTACTTGAACGAAGAGTTAACGTGGTTCTAATTGATTGATATGAACCGGTGAGAGTGAAATAAGATTTCAGGTTGATTCTGCAATGACCGACGCCCAAGCAATAAAAAGAGATGGGTTGAAATAATCCCTCTGCTTATACCACCTTGGCAATCTTCCATTTTTGGGGGGATGCAGACAATACTCGGTCAGGGTTATGCACATGCAACAAGCCCCCAGTCAGAGCAAGAAGCAACCAGGTAAGCTGCAGAGCCCCCCACCCCGGTACCCCGGTCCAAAACAGTCCAGTGGCACCTTTAAGACCAAGTTTTATTCAGGTACAAGCTCTCCCTCCTCTGCGAGGACAGATCTGCCCCTGCCACCCCCCCCCCCCCCCAATAGCTAGCAATCCAAAACAGTCCAGTGATGCCTGAGCGGTGGGTGTTGCTTTCGGACACACTTCCGGTGACGTCAGGGGGCGTGGCATATGCAAATGAGTTATGCTAATGAGCTCCTACACCTCTTTTTCTACGAAATGACCCCTGGTTACATGCATCTACATTCAGTTCTAGTTAGGATGAGGGACGGGTCCGATGCATTTAAGATTTACCGACTTGAATTATTTCTCCTCTAATGTCACCGAGAAGGTGGCTTAGTTCCTTTACTCTGCTACAAAGGCATGCCAAGGGGTTCTCACAAAAATAATCCTATATTTACACCGATGTATATGTACGTTGCGGTTTTGAACAATGCTCCCTCTAAGCTGTGGAGTCCTGTGAGCAAAAATTCTACTTTGTGAGCTGCCGGCATTAAAGTCGTGAGCGCGCGATTGGGCTGCTGCATGAATTTGTTTGCTTTGGAGCCCTCCTTCCTGGGCGAAGACAAAAATGGGTGAGCCGGAGGCTAAAAAACTCTGAGCTGGCTCACGCTAACTCAGCTTAGAGGGAACACTCGTCTTGACTTACCTTTTAAACTGCCAATAAAGGCAACTAAACTAACCGGCCTGGAGAGCCCGATCGCGGGAGCTGAGCAGGGCTGGCACTGCCTACTGCCTAGATGGGAGACCGCCAAGGAAGTCCGGGGTTGCTACGCAGAGGCAGGCAATGCCGAGCCACCTCTGAATGTCTCTCGCCTTGGAAAACCCTACAGGGTCACCATGAGTGAGCTGTGTTGATGGCACTTTCTTCCACCACCATTTGCTCTCACCTGGATTACTGGCCCGATCTCATCAGATCTCGGAAGCTAAGCAGGGTCGGCCCTGGTCAGTCCTTGGATGGGAGACCAACCAAGGAAGTCCAGTTGCTACGCAGAGGCAGGCCATGGCAAACCCACCTCTGCTCGTCTCTTGCCTTGATCTGGACGGCCCAGGCTGGCCCGATTTCATTAGTTCTTGCAAGCTAAGCAGGGTTGGCCCCGGTTAGTACTTGGATGGGAGACCACCAAGGAAGTTTAGGGTTCCTACGCAGAGGCAGGCAAGGCTAGGACCCAGGTTAGAACAGGAAATGGTCGAGTGATTAAGAGAGTCTGGCAAAGCAAGCTATGATGCAGCAGCAGCAGAACTAAAAGCACTTCCACTGTGGGCCTGATGGAAGCTCTCCGGGGGCCTGATCCGGCCCCCGGGCCGCACGTTTTACATCCCTGCCTTAGCTCTTCTCCTGCAGGGGGGAGGGACCGGCATGCAGAAGGTCCCAGGTTCAAACCACGGCATCTCCAGCGAAAAGGATCAGGCTAGCTCACTGTTTTTTAGCCTCCGGCTCACACATTTTTGGCTTAGTCCAGGAAGGAGGGCTCCAGAGCAAACTGACTTATGCAGCAGCCAAATGGATCGCTTACAACTTTGATGCCAGGAGCTCACAAAGTAGAATTTTTGCTCACAAGACCCCGCAGCTTACAGGGAGCGTTGTGTGATGTGATGTGAAAGACTTCACCTGAGACTGGAGAGCTGCTGCCGGTCTGAGTAGGCGATACTGACACTGATGGACCAATTGCCTGACTCAGTATAAGGCAGGTGTACGTGCCCGCTGGATAGATAAAGCCGCTATAATAGAATCATAGAATGTTAGAGTGGGAAGGGACCTTGCAGGTCATCTAGTCCAACCCCCTGCACTCTGCAGGAGCACAGCCGAAAGAGAGCCCCACAACATGCCCGAAAGATGGTTGTTCAGCCTCCGCTTGAAAACGTCCAGCAAAGGAGCCTCCACCCCCTCCCGAGGCAGACTGTTCCACTGCTCAACCACTCTTACAGTTAGGAAGTTTCTCCTGATATTTAGCCGGTAACGACTCCCTTGTAATTTCCACCCATTAGACCTAGTCTTGCAATCTGGAGCAAGACAGAATCGATCCACTCCATCGTCTACGTGACAGCCCTTCAGATACTTGAAGACTGCAATCGTGTCCCCTCTAAGCCTTCTCTTTCCCAGGCTAAACAGACCCAACTCTTTCAGCCTTTCCCCATAATAATAGAAGAAGAAGAAGAGATTGGATTTATACCCCGCCCTTCACAACCCAAAGGAGTCTCAGAGCGGCTTACAAACTCCTTTCCCTTCCCCTCCCCACTGCAGACACCCTTGTGAGGTAGGCAGGGCTGAGAGAGCTCTTCACAGAGACTGTTCTTTTTCAAGGACAGCCCTTATCAGAACTACGGCTTGCCCAAGGTCATCCAGCCAGGTGCAAGTGGAGGAGGAGTGGGGAGTCAAACCCGGTTCTCCCAGATTAGAGTCCGCGCACTTAACCACTACACCAAACTGGATTCCAACCCTCTCACCATCCTGGTCGCCCTCTTCTGGACACGCTCGAGCTTGTCAACACCCTTCCTGAAATGTGGTGCCCAAAACTGGACACAGGACTCCAGGTGAGGCCTGACCGTAGCAGAATATATAAAGCATCCCCGGACGGATCTCTCCCAGGGGGGTTTTGTTTATGCACCCATCCACATGCTGTCCAGTGAACTACGCGGAGGTATGAACCGGCTTGGCAAGTCTGTTTTGCTTTGTTTAAAAAAAGCATCTGTGGCGAGCGTAATAAAAAGCCAGCGGCTTAAACCCTTTTATTTCTCTGCTTAGTAGACTCTGTAGTTTAGCCCTGTGCCGAATGCCCTTTCAAGACATCGTCGACGACGCTGCAGCACTTGGCGAAGATAATTTCTGAAGGCTCCTCGCCCAGGACCTGCAAATGCAAAAACAGAACAGAGTCTCTCTGCGGCTCTCAGCCGCCTTCTCCCCTGGGAGCATCAGTCCCTGCGTGCACGCGCACACACATCTGGGGATCTGGTACCGCTCTTTCTATCTCTGCGGGAACAGTATTGCTTCCCTGGGGCACGAGGACAGAACCTAACGCAGGGATTCCCAGACACAATTTTTGTTTGTCTTTAAGGGGCTGCTCTGAACCCTTGCTCTTTTCTACCGGAAAAACTACGAAACAGGAAAGGGCCCAGCTGGATTAGACCAAAACTCCCATTAGTGCAGTGTTTGTTTCCCTGCAGCCGCAAGCCCTGTGCGCTGCCGGAGGTTGTGCTGGCAACGGCCTTCCCCTGTCGCTTGTTCTGAGCAGCCAGTTCTTGGAGCGACGCTAGAGGCGGTTCCATCGAGCCACCGTTGCCAATGGTTAGCGACAGACACCTTTGTGACTTTTTGGTGACTTGTATCCTGCCAACTTTGAAGCCTCCCTCTGACGGAAGAGGCACAAAAGATACGAGCTAGTCCTGCGGCCCTGGCCACCTCTAGTGGCAGCGGATTTGTTTCGCAGCTCGAACGACTGTGCCCAAGAGCAGGAGAGAGACCTGGCTCGCCCAGGAAGAGGTACTGCAAGAAACAAACACTGTGATATAGATGACAACACATGTTAAGTAAGAGTCATCTTATATTGTAAAACTTGGCAATATTACAGGGCTATCATTCTCACCGAGCATCCGGATATAAACTCATTTCTTCTTTATATATTTCAAATAATCTGGTTCCATGTTCAAGTGTTTATAAAGGAGCCAGCCAGTCTTGCCTTCTTTTATACAGGTGCAAAAGCCTCCTGTATTATGCTGGCTTAAGAGCTCTCCATGAACACTGTATAGATTTTTATGGTAGTAGCAACCAGTCCTCTTCTCCCCCCGGCTAGAAGCCTTCGATTTTAAATTGGGTGGCAAAACAGGAGGCTTTTGCACCTTTATAAACACTTGAATGTGGAACCGGAAGATTATTAAATTAAACTTAAACAGAACATTGAACTGTAGCAAGAGGCTGACACCTTTGTTACTATAGATTACTCAGGGCTATTTTTGGGCAGGAACGCACAGGAACGGAGTTCCGGCTGGCTTCAGAGTTGGCCACTTTGACCTGATCCAACATTGGCGTCTCTTATGTTCTTATATTCTAAGCCTTCCTCTGATGGAAGAGGCGCAAAAGACAGGAGCTAGTCCTGGGGCCCTGGCCACCTCTAGTGGCTGCAGCTTTGTTTCGCAGCTCGAATTCCTGTGCCCGAGAGCAGGAGGGCGACCTGGCTCGCCCAGGAAGTGGCACTGCGACAAACAAACAACTGTGATATAGATGACAGCACATGTTAAGTAAGAGTCATCTCATATCGTAAAACGTGGCAATATTACAGGGCTATCATTCTCAACGAGCATCCAGATATAAACCCGTTTCGTCCCACTCTTCCTCAGGATTACCCAGTCAGGAGTAATCCTGTAGTAATGAACAGGGCTTTTTTTGTGTAGAAGAAGCCCAGCAGGAACTCATTAGCATAATAGGCCACGCCCAACAGCAGAAACGTATTAGCATATTAGGCCACACCCCTGACAGCGCAGCTCATTTGAATATTAGGCTCTGCCTTCCCTGGCCCCTGGCCCACCCGCCTCGGAGTCTCTGGGGGGGGGGTCGCTCTCCGGGCCTTCCCTCTGTAGCCACGCACACAGAGGTTTTGGCTGTAGTGGGCGTGGCCAGCTCAGAAGCCAGCTGGAACTCCGTTCCTGTGCGATCCTGCACAAAAATAGCCCTGGAAGGTGTCAGACTCTTGCTGCAGTTCAATGTTCTGTTTAAGGGCAGCCCAATGTTTAATTTCTCCTTTATATTTTTCAAATAATCTGGTTCCATGTTCAAGTGTTTATAAAGGTGCAAAAGCCTCCTGTATTATGCTGGCTTAAGAGCTCTCCAGGAGCACTGTATAGATTTTTATGGAAGTAGCAACCAGTCCTATTTTCCCCCGGCTAGAAGCCTTCGATTTTAAATTGGCTGGCAAAACAGGAGGCTTTTGCACCTTTATAAACACTTGAACAAGGAGCTGCGGTGGCTCAAGTGGTTAAGACGCTGAACTGCAGGCTGTGGAAGGTCAGTAGTTCAGCAGTTCGAGACCTGAGTGTGCCGCATGACGGAGTGAGCTCCCGTCTCTAGTTCCAGCTCCTGCCAACCTAGCAGTTCGAAAGCAAGAAATTGCAAGTAGATAAATAGGGACCACTTCGGTGGGAAGAAGGTAACAGCGTTCCGTGCGCCTTGGAGTTTAGCCATGCCGGCCACATGACCACGGAAACGTCTTCGGACAGCGCTGGCTCTTCGGCTTCGAAATGGAGATGAGCACCGCAGCCCTAGAGTCAGAGTCGACTGGCTTTCGAGCAAGGGAACCTTTACCTTAAACACTTGAACGTGGAACCGGAAGATTATTAAATTAAACATTGGGTTGCTCTTAAACCGAACCTTGAACTCTAGCAAGAGGCTGCCACCTTTGTTGCTATAGGATATCTCCTGAGAAAGACTGGGACGAAATGAGTTTCTATCCGGGCGCTCGTTGAGAATGATGGACCTATAATATTGCCAAGTTTTTACAATATAAGATGATTCTTACTTTAACATGTGTTGTCGTCTATATCACAGTGTTTGCTTGCTTGTTGCATTTCCTATACCTGCGATCCCCCTCCTGGTCTTTTCAGGAAGTGGTACTGGCAGAAGAGCCTGCCATGAAGCCAGGTTTCAGCTCAGCTACCCCACCGTCCCATCGCCCTCTGGCCTTTTTTGCCTGGACTCCAAGGGGACGGGCCAGAGAGGCCCGGGCGAGTTCCCGGAGACCTACATTCCGCAGCATGCTCTTCTGCAGGTAGTAGGTGAGGACGGGCTCAGAGAGCGTGTAGTGGGTCTCCAGCCGCTGCCGGATGATCCTCTCGTGGTCGTCGGCCCGCGTGCCCATTTGACTCCGCAGCAGCAGGCGCTGGATCATCGTCTCCGTGGAGCAGTCGAACACAATCACGATGTTAGGCGAGCGTCCCACCTGCAAGGGGGAGATGAGAGAGGGAAGAGGTTGGATTTATACCCCCGCCCTTCACTACCCAAAGGAGTCTCAGAGCAGCCTATGGTCTCCTTTCCCTCCCCCTCCCCACAACAGACACCCGGTGAGGCAGGTGGGGCTGAGAGCGCGCTCTCGAGGACTGCTCCTGAGAGAACAGCTCTGAGAGAACTTGTGACTGACCCAGGGTCACCCCAGCAGCTGCAAGTGGAGGAGTCGGGGGAATCAAACCCGGCTTTCCCAGACTGGAGTCTGCCGCTCTTAACCACTACACCAAACTGGCTCTTGAAGATCAAGAATGATGAACTAAAATATTAAAATCTTACAGAAACTCTAGCTTCAACTGTGGAAAGTTTAATTTTCTATTTTCGGGATTCATATGTAAAAATCTCAGCGGCTGGATTAACCAATAACAACCTTAGTGATTATATAAAAGAAAGGAAATTGTAAACAGAAGTAGAAACTTGTAACAGCTATAATACAAACTTGAAGGAATTTCTCTGTATGTCTTACCCCATACCCTTTACCCTTCCTACCCTTTATTGTCTGGTTTTATTATGTGTGGAAATCTAATAAAAATTTAAACAAGAAAGGAATTACCCTCCTCTCCTTTCCCCATTTAGTGCTAAACCACTCTGATAATTCACCCTGAATCACTCCAGATTGCCAAGTGCTCTCCTCCAGGGATGTAGCAATCACCTTCACCCAATGACTGACTCACAGCAGCAGTGGGCAGCTGATTAGAGCACAAGGTCCAGACTGCAGTTCCCCTGAAGAAAACGGCTGCTTCGGAGGGGCGGCTCTCTGGCATTATCCCCCGCTGAGGTTCTTCCCCAAACCCTGCCCTCCCATAAATCCCCTGGAATCTCCCAACCCAGAGTTGGCAACCGCAACACAGAAGTTATGCAAGGTTGGTTCCTTCCAATCAAAATGATTCGAGGGGCAGTTCCTTTTCTGACCCCTTGGTGGCAGTACAAGGACACCTCTCCAGCTTACGATATCCCGATTTGTCAAACCGTAAAGCCCTAGCAGTTCGAAAGCAAGACATTGCAAGTAGATAAATAGGGACCACTTCGGTGGGAAGGTAACAGCGTTCTGTGCGCTTTGGTGTTTAGTCATGCCGGCCACATGACCACGGAAACGTCTTCGGACAGCGCTGGCTCTTCGGCTTGGAAACGGAGATGAGCACCGCAACCCTAGAGTTGGACTCAACTGGCTTTTGAGCAAGGGAAACCTTTACCTATACCTAAAGCCCTGAACCGGCTACCACCCCCAGGCTAATAAGAGGAGGGGGCTTCAGCTACACTTGATTCCCACAGCACCGACTGCGTTAGGGTCTCCATCTGCCGTGACCCAGCTCTCTGATTCTTTTCTTCTTTTAAATTGGACTAGGTTCGAAGCCCCAATCTGCCGCGAAAGCTTGCTTGGTTGGGTGACTTTAAATCAGTCACACGCCCTCCGCCTAACCTACCTCACAAGGGTGTTGTGAGGGTAAAACGGAGGAGAGGAAAGTTAATGGAAGCGACCTTGGGTCCCCACTGGAGAAAAAGGTGGGGAATGAATGAACGAAAAAACAAACAAACAAACGGTAAAAGTAGCCAGGACCACTTCTACTTCTTTCTTTTGACCCTCATCTTCTGCCATGCTTGTAAAGGTAAAGGTCTCCCTTGCTCGAAAGCCAGTCGAATCCGACTCTAGGGGTGCGGTGCTCATCTCCGTTTCCAAGCCGAAGAGCCAGCGCTGTCTGAAGATTTTTCTGTGATGTGGCCGGCATGACTAGACGCCGAGGCGCACGGAACGCTGTTAATCTCCCCACCGAAGCGGTACCTATTTATCTACTTGCCATTTCTTGCTTTCAAACTGCTAGGTTGGCAGGAGCTGAAACCAGAGACGGGAGCTCCCTCCGTCCCGCGGCACTCGGGTCTCGAACTGCCGAGCTACAGACCTTCCGGCCCGCAGCTCGGTGTCTTAACCTCTGAGCCACCACGGCCATGCTTGAGGCAGAACCAAATTTGTTAGGCGTACAACCAGCCAGCGAATCTCGCCTTCTCTAATCCCGTGCTCTCGCCAAGGTACCTCTTGGCAGCTTCTCTGGTCCCCAGCTGACATGAGCCTGTGGAGAGTTAACGTATACCGCTGGCCACAGGCAAACGCTTCCTTCCCTTCTCCCCTCCCGTCCTGGGGATCCTCTTACCACTTCCTCGAACAGCCGGGCCTGGCTGATTTCCCGGGGGAAGCCGTCAATAAAGAATCCCTTGACGTTTTCGGTCCTAAGCATGTTATCGGTCAGCAAGTCCAAGACGTAGCCCTAGAGAGAGAGAGACGTACCCTGTTCCTCAAGGAGCTTTACTGAACTGAAATACTTATTACGGTTGAAGGCCAGTTCTGAAATATAGGCAGGAAAAGGTAAAGGTTTCCCTTGCTCGAAAGCTCGTTGGATCCGACTCTAGGGGGCGGTGCTCATCTCCGTTTCCAAGCCGAAGAGCCAGCGCTGTCCGAAGACGTTTCCGTGGTCATGTGGCCGGCATGACTAGACGCCGAGGCGCACGGAACGCTGTTCCCTTCCCACCGAAGCGGTACCTATTTATCGACTTGCATTCTCTTGCTTTCGCACAGCTAGGCTGGCAGGAGCTGGGGCCAGAGACGGGAGCTCAGTCCGTCACGCATCCGTCGGGTCTCGGGCTGCCGAGCTGCCGACCTTCCGGTCAGTGGCTCGGCGTCTTAACCTCTGAGCCACCGTGCCCCCAAAATCCATACAAGAACTCCATTAATACAAAGAAGAAAGTAGGGTTGGCAAAGCAGCATGTTTAAGAATCTGCACAGTCTATTAGATCTCCAACAGCCAATCAGAAGCTCTGCTGGGCAAAAGCCCCACGTGGCCCCGCCCACGTTGAGATAAACATGTGGCTGGCACCAGGAAACATGTCGGCAGGTGCCTCGGTGCCCGTGGGGATCACGTTGGGGACCCCAGTCTAAAGTGTAATCCTGGCATCCTGATACGGATCGAGTGCCGGGGAGGGGGCTTCTTACCGCTGGGACCAGGGCCCCTCTCAGCATGATGTCCCTGATGATCCTGCTCTTGGTGGTCGCCTTCTTGGCCTCCTCCCGCAGGAGTTCTCCAACCGGCATGTGGTAGAAGTTGTACTTGGTCGCCAGGCGGGCGCAGTGCGGCCCCTTGCCACTGCCGGGGCCACCGATCACAAAGATGA